AACACAAAATAAACTGATTTGGCTGTGATTTAACGGCAATAAACCGACAAAAAGGGACTCCGAAATAACTACGTAATGATGCTGATTTGTAGGCTACTTGTCTTCTCAATGGAGCGGATGGAGCAGTGCTAGGCTAAGCTAACATTGTAGCAGCTCCTTCAACACTCAGAATAACGTCATCTAGACGTAAATACGGCAGCGTCTATTCATTGTTTGTACCATATGGTTTACACACACACATTTATACACATAGTTTGGTCCGGTCTCTATTGATATGAGGTATCGTAGAGCTCTGGGTGAACACAGACGGCTACAGTATTTATTTCCTGATTCAACAACGGCAGGACGTCAGTGATGACAGGAGAAACATCTCAACGCTGATAGGCTATCGCGCCAATGCGTCACGCCATTTTTTCGCCGAAGTTGAAAAATTTCAACTCACGCATTTGGGGCGTTTTGCCGATTGACGCGAATTTGCGTCAATCGCGCCGCAAATTTGCGTCACTCCAGTCTCATCGCGTCTGTGCATAGACTTTGTATGTAATCTACTCGCACGAATAATTTGCGCCGCATTTGGTGTGAACGCAGCATAAAGCTCACCAATGAACACATATCTCATCATTTCCAAAGGGGGCTACCCAGGATACCTGCATGCACATAACAATTAACATACACACCTGTATTGATAATTACAATAAAAGACTGGCAGAAACTTGCGTGGAAATAATTTCATTATCCATATGATTATTTAAACCTGCAACCTCGGAGAAAACAAAACAAAAGAGAAAAAGTTACAGCATCAGCTAGAACATTCGCAGCAACATTCGGGCAGAGGAGAACCACAACCAGGACTGATCAGGGCACACTGTCAGACGCTGCTGCAGTCAAATATTTTCTAAAGAGATCCTGGTGCTCGGACACACTACCTGATTTGTCCACAAAGACCGCCAAAACCAACACAAAATGAAAGTTCCTCGTAGGGAGCTTTGAGATGTTATTAATGCTGCAGACGCCAAGACATCCAGACTTTTAGTCCCTCTTATGCGTCAAGCTCAAAACTCCTTTGATCCTACATTTCCCATAATGCAATAAATGAAACATTTTTGCATTAGATCCTCCCTGCCTCGTACATACACACGCCACACATCCAGTTTCTAACGCAGGTCTTTATGTTGTAAATCCCTAATGACATCAGAGTTATTTTTTCAGATGTTGTCAGAGCCACAGAAGATATATACAGCTGATTATCATGTGTGGAATCACTGGTGGGCACCTTAAAGTGCAATTAGATATAAGTTCAGTTAATAGCAGGTATTCAGACACCATAGGCTCTATAGTGCAATAATTAGGCCACATTCATTGTAAGTGTTGTTCCATTGATCTTCAAACAAACTAATCCGATCTTTCAATCCAGAGCAGACCTACTTTCCCCACAGTTTTCCTTATGACTGTCTGATGTTCAACCAGTGATGTTTTTATTTTTCTTCCCTTCAATGCAGAATCCTTGAGTTTAAATTAGGCCCTGAGGGTGCCTGGAGATCGATTGGCTCACTGCAGGTGCACGCAAGACAGGAACAACAAAAGAAGGGCATTTTCCTCCTCTCCTTTCATCGGAATAAAACAAGCTTGATTGGGAGCGAATGAGAGGAGAGAAATGCGCTGGTTCGTGTCCACTGCCGGTTCCAGCGCTGCATTCTTGTTCCTGCGGCCCGTGTTCATTGGCCAGGCACGGTATTGACCGTGTTGTACGGCAAAACGGAGATCAAGCTGGGTTACAACGTGGACGACTCAATCCCCGAAAACAAACTGCTATCGATTGGTGTGAGTAAGTAACATACAAGAGGCAGCTCTGAGGGCCCAGTCAGAATCCGCACTGCCTCTACTTTCACTTTACTGCACATTGCTGCCCTTATTGACTATTTGGAGTATTGGATGGACAAGGTGGGAGGTATGGATGAAACCCACAGCAGTCTGATAACGTTTCACAAGGCTGATACACAGCAGGGTATCTTTTTAAAACTGGAGTTACCTATAATATCAAGACATTAAGAAACACACAGAATTTCCTCTGAAAAAAAAAGCATTGAGAGCATTTGAAGATGTTACAAGCTACTAATGAGTTAGTTTCATGGGAATGATCCGCTCTGTGAAGCAGGCTGACCCGCCGGTTCAATGGCAGGGAACTCAGAGCAATATTGTTGCCTTTAAATTAAAAATTAATTTGGAATATTACTGAATAATGAAACGAATGAATACATTTCTATGCAGGGGCAGACTTCATATGACGAGTGAAGGACACAGCCTGGCTGTAAACAGTATTTATTATGCTCAGAGAATAAAATGACAGTGATCGATAAAAAGCACAGCCTCTGCAGCTTAGTTGATATTCAAATGGTTTGTGTGAGATTTCTTTGAGGGGTTTATTGATGTTTGGTTGATATGTTCTTTAATGAAAATCATTTCATTTTAACAGGTTAAATCATGCCTTTTCAGAGCTGACGTTATGCTCTTGAAACTACTGTAGAGCAGAACCCAATGCCATCACTTCACACAACTGTGGCAACTTGACTGAATTTAGCGATCATGACACTGAGAAAACCTAGTATGCTGAGAATCGTGACAATTATATCAGTGATTTTACACCAGTTACTAAATGGAATTTGACGTAACATACAATATTTTTGAAGAACACCTTTGGATACTTGGGAAAAATTTGCACCAAAATATGACCAAAATATCATGGGTGTTGGAGATGAAGATACAGATGTGAATACACAGCATATTATGCAAATCAACGGATAATAATAATAATAATAACTTTATTTATATAGCACCTTTAAAAACAGAGTTCACAAAGTGCTTTGACAGTCAAAGCAGCAAAAACCAGGCTACAACAACAACAGAAAGCTCAGTGAGACCGTTGGATACGTTAAAAATAAACTAAGAAATTAATGAAATAAAATAATCGATAAAATAAAATAAAAACAAAATAGAAATATATATATATATATATATATATATATATATATATACACAGTCAGGGCCATAAGTATTTGGACTATGACACAATTTTTCTAATTTTGCTTATTTACACAACTCCAATGGTTTTGAAACTAATCAGTTAATATGTGGTTGAAGTGTAGACTTTCAGCTTTAATTCAATGGATAAAACAAAAAAATCACAATAACTGTTTAGGAATTACAGACACTTTTACACAGCCACCCACATTTTACTATTTCGTCAACCTTTACTATCCAAAGAGCCATTTTTTATTTTCAGTGACAGTATCAGCTCAAACTCCAAGTTAAGAGCTGTCCCTTTGAAAGATTATCCACTGTGCAAAAAATACAATAAAAATAACCGTCATTTATTTCCGTGTTATTTTTTTGTCAAAGCCTGAGGCCATGTCCCCACTACTACGTTTCCATTTGAAAACGCATGTTTAGCTATGTTTACACTGAGCGTCCACACTACGCCGGAGTTTTCAAAGCACCGAAAACGGACAAGTTTGAAAATGCTCCCGAGGACGGATACGTTTGAAAACTCCGGGTTGCTTTGTCGTGTGGACGCTCGTAAAGGCATATATTTGGAAACGATCACGAGTTCGCTACTTGATTGGTTCTTAGCAGTCATGACGTGTCCTTCCCTGATTCGTCACACTAATATCACGTGACCTTTTCCCGTAAGATCACAAACAACAACATTGATCACCGATCGACTACCAGGTTAATTCAACATGGAGAACTGATTACAGGTGTTGCTGACCATGTTGTCTTTACTAGCAGCTGTTGTCCAGTTAAAGTCTACATTATTATGGAGGAAGCAGCTGTTATTGGAGCGATTAGTGAGCGGTGTGACCAGCGGCGTTATCAGACCTACGGAGCGGCCGTCTGAAGTCACTGTTAGCGGCTTTGAGGAGGACGGACACAAAACGGAGGACTTTCCTTTTCTTATTATTGTTTATTCTTATTATTTCTTAACTATTGTGAAGTCCACACATAAACTATAAAGGAACAAAACATGGATTGCTCTCCAGTAGACAGACTTCAGACACCAGCAGAGCTACGAGTGAGAACAGAAACAATGAAACTGAGGAAACAAGTGAGAGACGTGTGTTGACCACATTTATGGATCATAATCTAGTAAACCTTTATGTGAAAGTGTTCATTTTAAAGTGAATTTGATGTGAGAGAGAGAGAGATGGAGCAAGACCTGCAGCGCTGTAACTCCTGAGGTTGCTGACTCCTGGCCTATACCATTGGTTTCCCAAATGTTTCAGTTCTTCGCTCCTTAACTGAATCAATGTTTACCTGTGACGCCGAATCGCAAGTTGGATATGGACCTTTAACTTGTACAGTCCAACCAAAGTATATTTATTCCACTGTGATTGTTTCAATTACAGGCTTTTATGTCACAGTATTTCAAAAGACAAATGTAAAATTTTATTTAGTGTATTATATATTTATATATATATATATATATATATATATATATATATATATATATAAAATGATCCCTCTGATTTATTTTATGATTCTAGGGGTGTCCCAACTCCCACGACTGAAAACAATGTTTGTTTTTTGAGAGACTGCTTTCATTGGTTTTCCATTAAATGAAGCGCTTCTATCTGAGCTGCTTTTATCTTTAAATGCATCTTAATCAAGGTTTTTTTTATGTTGGATGATAAAAAGTAGTTTAATCCTCTTTATGTGAATAATGTTTACTATGAGTATGATATAAGTGTTCTAGGAAATTCCCAGCCTTGAATTTTAAAAGATCAAATAGTTGATGAAGGCATCAGGTTTTGAATAAAACCCGTGATTTGACATTAATAATCCAGGGTTAGCGTTTAATTCCTCAAATGTAGACTACAGCCAGCGGACTCTTCACGAGTGCATGACATGTTTCCTATTGGCTGGTGAGTTGTTGAGAAACTTTCTTCTTGTATGTCATTGGCTGTGCGGCGTGGAGGGCGGGACAACCTTCCGGAAGTGATGCTTTGTTTCTGTTTCTGTTTGAAAGAGTTAAGGGAGAGGGCTAACATTCCCTGTGAAGTATTAATAATAAGGACCGTCTATCGATACATTGCTACACAAAAGACTCAACTGACGGCGTAACGTGACTGTACGGCTGGAGGTCCTTCGGAGGTCGGTTCGTATTTGATCTCACAGTTCACGTCGCGAGACGTTAAAGACTCTTGCTAAGTTAGCTAACGTTGCTTTAGCTAAACGGTCTGCTGACGTCAGCCACCAGCAGGACTCAGATACGTGTCTCGAGGTAGGACCATACACGACCATTGTTTCCATCCCTTTTAAAATGATCGTTCCAAAGTATTTCATACAGCAGAATACAGCCGTGATGAAAAAGTGCAGAACTAATACTACTAATACTTCAAACTAATAGAGCCCTGATCTCTGCAACATGAACATGACAATATGTATTTATTCTAAGGCTATTATTAGTACTAAAAGTGATCATAGGCAGAACATTTCACACAGACACCACTGTAATAGTGAGCTACTCTCACTGTTGGCACAGTTCAGGCCATCACACACAACGCTGTACAAAAACACTAAGAAAGAGTATATTGCCTTTATTTAAATGTCAATATATAAAGAAGTATGCACAGATAAGCCAGGTTCATAACTACTTTTATACTACTTTTAGAGCTTTATCAAGAATACTGTGTTAATTCATTGAACCCAAGAGAGGTGAAGTATCTCCTCTGTAATGCAGGGCTGGTGACGGAGGAGAGCATTTAAAGTGTGTTTCTACTCTGCAGCATTCCAGAGATGTTCTAATAGTAGTCAGACTACTTTGATGTAATATACACACTGCTCTCATAAGGTTACAGCTGACAGTGCCGACCTGACCGACAGCGCCAGGGCGGCATGGTCCAAAAACACTCCACCCTCTGGTTCCCCCTCTGGTTCCCCCTCAGGTTAGCACCGTTAGCTACGAGGCGCCCGCCTGACGCCGACATGTTGAGAACTGACGAGAGGCAATCGAAATGCTCCCAATCTCTGATCGTGCACCTTTAGCATTTCTTGTAACCGAATAATCACAAACTGTGTCCAAACAAGTGTTTGCACTGAAGTAATTAGGCGTGGCAGTTACGTGATATGAATGAATGCTATGTGTACATGTGTGTACATGTGTGTACATGTGTGTGTGTATATGTGTAACTTTACCTTTTTGTTTCACATTACACTGAGTGGAGTGAAAGAACGTTGTCTGAGTGGTTTGGGATCACAGCCACCTCAGAATAATAATGTTAATCTGATTTGTATTTCCTCCTAGTATATCAAAACATTTTCCTAAAAGTTGTCATGGCACCGCCAAAAAAGAGGGCGTTACCCAAAGCGCTACCAGAGGGGTTCATACTGACGGACAGTGAGAAGAAGAAGTGGAGGCTGGGCAGGATGATTGGTCACGGTGGCTGTGGGCTGATCTATCTGGGTAATGAACCCACATGATGGCACCCAGACACACACACTCTATACACAGTCACAGAACAACTCACTCTCTTTCTGTCAGACACACACACACACACACTCTATACACAGTCACAGAACGACTCACTCTCTTTCTGTCAGACACACACACACACACACACTCTATACACAGTCACAGAACAACTCACTCTCTTTCTGTCACACACACACGCACACACACACACACTAACAGTTTGTGGGAGACACTTCTCTGATTGATGGGTTCTCCTCTTGGTTGTGAAAGCTGCTCACAGATCAGATTGCAAGACTTTCAACTCTCCAACTTGTCATTTGTTTCATAACAGCTCCTTACCCCTCTGATCTCAGACCTTTAATGTATCCATTAGTGCTCGATACAGTGGTTTGTTCATTTCTTCCTGGTTTTGGTTACAGTTACAAAAGCCAATCCACAGAGCCTGATGTAGTCCAGGAGTTCCAACTTAACTTTCTTCTCTGTCTCCTGTTGTCCCAAAGCCTCCCGTGACGTGGACCGACCTGTTGCTGCAGACACTGACTTTGTCATAAAAGTGGTGAGTACATGTGGGCTGCACACAGACAATCCATCTTCAGAGTTGATGCTTTTTTGAAGTATATACTGCAAGATGCTCTTACTGCTGTACGCATGCAAGTGTTCATGGCACAGTGACGTTTCCTCTGTTTTGCTTTTGTTTGAACTTCATCAAACATCACGTGATCGAGTTAAACGTCACTGTGAGAAAATTGCAACAGATGACCCAAATGAAGTTTGGACGACGCAGCAAAATGGAATGTGTGTTAGTGCAATGGTCCCTCCTCTCTTTGGCACATGTGCTTCTGTTGAGGGGAAGTAGAGCATCCTAAGCTAGGGAGAGGGTTAACCCTAACCCTAGCTTAGGATGCATGGATGCTGTAATGTCCACTTCCAGTTAACTGGCGTGGGAGAGCCTTCAACGGTTGATTGAGTGAGTAGAGTGAGGCTGGAGTGGCAGGTTTATTTCAGGCCAATATTCAGAACCAGACTTATTAGGTTGTTGTCCTTTGACATTACTCTTTTTGTACAAATGATATATTATAAAGTTCAGTTGACGCTAATATGAGGCTTCAACAGTTGCAGCAGTTCTCCCTCTTTGTGTTACTACAGCTCTGCATCTCAGCAAGTAAACTAAGCCAACGAAAAGTTCACTTTTATGTGATAGACTGCAAATAGCTGACAATCAACAATATCGTCCCCATTCACTTAAACTGCACATGGATTCACTTGTGAGTCTGCAGGCCTCGGGCCTCTGTTCTTACCTAGAGACACAGAGGTGAGATCTGATTGGATAAAAGCTCTACTTAAAACAAGCTGCACTGGAAGCAGAGCAACTGAGGAAGACAGGAGCTGTGCAATGAGAAAGTAAGATAATGGGAAAAATATTTTTAAAAATTACAATACATGTAGTGTATTTAAGAACAATTATTCAATTATAAAATAGCTATAACTTTGTGATTCTGTTTAGGCCAGCAGAGAAGGCCCTGCAGGCCCTGACGGCCCACCAGTGGGTTCACATGGTGTTGAGGTGAAAGTTGAGCGTGGTTCAGCCTTTTAGCTGCTCAGTTTAACTGAAGCCTACGACTGCTGAGGACAGTCTTTAACAACCCACACCTGTCTCTAACTCGTTTAAGTTTGATTGGAGTTAACGTTGAGCTACTGAGAGTTATCTGAAACAAACATTGCATGTAGAGTTGTGTATGGCCCTGACTCACTCAAGGACTACAGGTAATGAGGCTAACATGTGTCTGTGTAGAATGTACTCACATGTACATCCAGAGAGATTCTCCTTTCTCCTCATTGAATTCAAAGTGAAATGTTCTTTGTCAAGATGCCATGTATCATCATCATCCAGAGTCCGTTCTGATTCAAGGGAATAGTCAACATGAACAATGAAGAAAGCTTATAAAAGGAATAGAATGCAGTGTGTCCTCGAGGACCAGTGTAAAATACATGAGCTGTATAGAGATATAGACGTATATAAATACAGTACCAGTCAGGTAAGTTTGGACACACCTTCTCATTCAATGATTTTTCTTTATTTTTATTTTTTTCTACATTGTAGATTAATATTGAAGACATCCAAACTATGAAGGAACACATATGGAAGGATGTGGTAAACAAACCAGAACATGTTTTATATTTTAGATTCTTCACAGTAGCCACCTTTAGCTCTGATGACAGCTTTGCACACTCTTGGCATTCTTTCAGTCCGCTTCATGACGTCGTCACCTGGAACGCTTTCCAACAGTCTTGAAAGAGTTCCCAGAGGTGCTGAGCACTTGTTGGCTGCTTTGCCTTCACGCTGCGGTCCAACTTGTTCCAGAGCATCTCATTGGGTTTAGGTCGGGTGATTGTGGAGGCCAGGTCCTGTGACGCAGCACTCCATCACTCTCCTTCTTAGTCAAACAGCCCTCACACAGCCTGGAGGTGTGTTTGGGCTCATTGTCCTGTTGAAATACAAATGCTGGTCCCGCTAAGCCCAAACCAGATGGGATGGCACGTCGCTGCAGAATGCTGTGGTAGCCATGCTGGTTAAGAAGCCTTGAATTTAGAATAAATCACCAACAGTGTCACCAGCAAAGCCCCCCCACACCATCACACCTCCTCCTCCATGCTGCACGGTGGGAACCACACATGTAGAGACCATCCGCTCACCTTCTCTGCGTCTTATGAAGACATGGCGGGTGGAACCAAAAATCTCAAATTTGGTTATCAGACCAAAGTACAGATTTCTCTGGTTTAATGTCCTTGTGTTTCTTGGCCCAAGCAAGTCTCTTCTTCTTCTTGTCCTTCCTCAGTCGTGGCTTCTTTGCAGCAATTGGACCATGAAGGCCTGATTCACGCAATCTCATCTGAACAGTTGATGTTGAGTTGTGTCTGCTACTTGAACCCTGTGAAGCATTTATGTGGGCTCTAATCAGGCTGGTAACTAATGAAGTGATCCTCGGCAGCAGAGGGAACTCTTGGTCTTCCTGTCCTGGGGCGGTCCTCATGAGAGCCAGTTCCATCACAGTGTTTGATGGTTTCTCTGTCGGCACCAAAAGGACTCCTGGAGCTGAAGTACATGAAGTACATTTGTGCTCAGCAATGTCCAACCTACATATGCGGCCTCTCAAGATTTTGGGAAATTCAAATTTAGCGAACATAATAAATTGACTTCTGTGACGACACTGTTGTATTATCAAACATTGTTAACACGGTAATAGTATAACTATTATGTATCTTATATGGAACCCTATTCCACTAGTGTCTGTGAGAGGATCTGACAGACTGACTAAACAATCTGTGCATGTGTACGATCCTCCATCTTTGTATCAAGATAGATCTTCCAATGGTGTCTCCTCTCCTCCCTTCTCTTCCTTCTCTCCTCTCCTCTCCTCTCTTCTCTTCTCTCCTCTCCTCCCTTCTCTTCTCTCCTCCCTTCTCTCCTCTCCTCTCCTCCCTTCTCTTCCTTCTCTCCTCTCCTCTCCTCTCCTCTCTTCTCTCCTCCCTTCTCTCCTCTCCTCTCCTCCCTTCTCTCCTCTCCTCTCTTCTCTTCTCTCCTCCCTTCTCTTCCTTCTCTCCTCCCTTCTCTCCTCTCCTCCCTTCTCCTTTCCTCTCCTTCTCTTCTCTCCTCTCCTCCCTTCTCCTTTCCTCTCCTTCTCTCCTCTCC